TCGTCAGGGACCTGACCAGGCCGGCAATTACAACTTTAACTTCGAGACTGGTGACGGCATCAGTCGTCAGGAGCAGGGCGCCCCTCAGGGCCCAGCCGGCGCCGTGGCAGCTCAGGGAGGATGGTCGTGAGTATTCTTGTGGTACTGGTCGTAGAGTCCACTGAGACTATAAACTAATAAGCAATATCGTCAGTAAACAATGAATAGTCATAAGTCTACCACTTGGCCCATCAATCCATCCTCGTCATTGCAGGTTCACCTTCCCTGACGGCACCCCGGGAGTCTTCAAGTTCGTAGCTGACGGTGCAGGCTACCGCGTGGAGTCTCCCCTGCTGCCCACGCCCCCGCCTCTCCCAGCCCACGCCATCGCCCAGATCGAGAAGGCTCGTCAGGAGGACGCCGCCGGTAACCGGTACGCTGCGCCCTCAGCCCCGGCACCCCAGTACTCAGCGCTCCGCCCCGCCGCCCCCAGCACCAGCTACGGCCGGCGATAGTTGATGCCAACAATTTTTCGACATTCTTTAACACATCAATTACCACTTCACCTGAACTTTCAGGTCCTCGTACTTACCTTCCCACTAACTTATTGCTTAATCTTAAGCTATACTAAGTACTCATGTATGTACATGTTGTAAATATAAACTAGAAGGTAAAGTGCATAATGTTTAACTCTACAAAAATCTATACAGTTATTAAGCTTGACTCAGCTTCTGCAACTCCACTTTTCTCAGTGTGTTTTATATAGAAATTATTAAATAGAAAATCAACACTCAGCATGTCCCCAGGACCAGACATTGCATTTGTCAGGGTCCTTGAAAAATGGAAAGATAGACTTACAAGGCACAAAAACTTACAATATTATTTCTTCTTCCATATTTAATAAATTATTAGAACGAAACAGAGTACCAGAACCATGGAAAGAGGGGGTTATCTTGAGATGATTTCGAGGCTTTTAGTGTCCCCGCGGCCCGGTCTTCGACCAGGCCTCCACCCCCAGGAAGCAGCCCGTGACAGCTGACTAACACCCAGGTACCTATTTTACTGCTAGGTAACAGGGGCATAGGGTGAAAGAAACTCTGCCCAGTGTTTCTCTCCGGGGCCTGGGATCGAACCCAGGACCACAGGATCACAAGTCCCGCGTGCTGTCCGCTCGGCCGACCGGCTCCCGTTTGGAAGGTTGCAAACGTGGTACCGATTTTTTTTAAGGGAACAGAGCACTTGCGTCGAACTTTCGGTTAGTTTATTATTTACCGTAGAAAAAACTACTTGAATCAGTAATTGTAAAGCCACACATTTGTGTTTTGAAAAACTGATTAACGCTAATGATCGTCACGCGGCATAAGCCCAGCAATTAGAAACCTACGTTATCAGATTAAAAATGTTTAATTTATATTCCCTAGAAAGATGAACATTAATGGGTGATATGATAGAGGTATACAAATGGATGATAGATTATAACAAATGAGATATTTATAATGTGCTAAACATGTAAACAAACACACACACAAAACGGACACATATTGAATGGGTTTCATTTCGGAAAAACACCTGTTTGGACTTACGATTCTTGACTTACGAAACAAATACTAAATGCTGGTAACATAACAAATGGGATCACTTGAGTGTTTAAAGTGTAAGTTAGACATAAATACGAATATGTATTATTAGGTACAAGTAGGAGCTGCCTCCTATCAGCCAATAGAAGCTTCCTCACTTCAGCCAATAAGTCCTTTAAAATTTCATTTATTCTTATGTTTCAGTGTATAAATATTCAAAATAGGCAAATGGAAAGAAGAGTTCATATCAAATATCAACAAAAAACGTATAATGTTACTTTTCATTTTTAACTTGCATGTTTTAGGTTTCTTTTATGCTATGCGTCTCGGTTTTGCCCTCCATGCTATAGAATGAACTTAAATCCACTAGAAAATGTACAGTGGAGGAAGCCAAAGTTAATCCCAGGAATTGTAAACCTTCCTAATGAAGAGCGATTGTTTCAAGCGTAGGCTGGACATGTATATGAGTGGGATTGGGGGGTTATAAATAGGAGCTGCCTCGTATGGGCCAATAGGCCTTCTGCAGTTACCTTTGTTCTAATGTTCTTAAATGCTGTAATTCCCCTTTGTCCGAGAAAAAGTAGTTTTGTCACCCTTATGACCACATACATCTCTCTAAAATAATTTTATTGTCAACGCTTTTTTTTTATATGAAAAAATATCCAATGAAAACAGGGAATTGAAACATACCTTCTAATAAGTAATTTCTGTCCATCGCAGAGTTGAAGACTCTTACCTGTAAAGGTATGACATTCAATTATTTAGCATTATCGAAATTCTCTCATAAATTTCAATCCTCATACACCACAAATATAAGAAAATCATCACACAGACTAACACATTTTAATTCAAACATATCAGCAACGTAGATGAAGATGACACTTGAGGATCGAGGTGTTGCTTACCTTGACGGGTGAGGACGCTGAGGTACCCCCGTCCAGTCAGCTCCAAACACCGCCTGAGACGTCTACAACTAGGTGTCGACACACACACACACATCTTGCAAGTCATAACACACTCAACACGAGACTAAAAACACTAGACGGCGAACTGGAGCTGCCAACAAGAAGGTAATTTTTAGTCATATTAAGCAGCAGTCTTGGAATGGTATTTCCTGCGATACATTACATTCTCACGGGACCACACTTAATCACGTACAGTGGTAGCAAAGTGTCTTGCCCTTGTCTTTATTTGATCTACTGCTATCCACAGTACTCTTTTTGGGATCTTGCTTGACAAGGAACGAGCAATTCAAGTTCCCGCTCCCGCTCTGACACATATTTTCTCTAAACAAAGTAATGATCACACCCACTCGACTGTTTCTCATTGTTCTAACATCTGCATCCCCCTTATAACTCACTATGACCGAACGTAATTATATGTTTTTCAGATCTGGCAATGTTGGTGAAGGTTTTAAGCGACCTGTCAGACGTTTCAGTCACTCGCGTCACAACACAACAATTACTAACTCCATAATGTTCCACAACCCGTCCTCGGGTAATGGTCATTCATGCGGCGGTCCACCTCAAAGACGCCTTCATCAATTTTAACATGTTGTTCATTCAAAATAGAAATTTTCTCATATATAAATGAATATTATTAGTTATTAGAATATTGTACATATTTAGTCGTGGGTTAGGTTCGATGTTCAGGTTCTGTTGGCGATTATTTGTATATGTTGTACGTGGGTGAAGCATTTACAGCGGTGTGGTTCGAGCAGAGGTCTCCAGCGAGGCACTGCTCGAGAGACTCTCGACCATCATTAGTTATGAGTCGTGTGTATACTGTTTTCATTCATACACAGGGGGATTTGGCGACGGGATTAACGAGCGTTTGGTCTTTATTGATGAGGACGCGATCTTGAATTGGTCGTACGTGGGGGTTAAGCATTTGCAGCGTTGCGTATCGAACAGAGATCCTCAATGAAGCACTGTTCAAGAAACTTTCGAACGTCGTCAGCTGTGAGTCGTGTACAAACCGTTTTTTATCCCTAGGCAGGCGTTTGGCGGCTGGATTTAACGATAAGTTTGCTCGTTGATGAGGACAGGCTATATGTCTTACAACTGATGACTTTCGAATATTTCTCGAACACCGACTCGTTGCTTGAACACCGTTACTGATTGTAGCTTTCGTCCTGATACTGATTATATATATATATATATATATATATATATATATATATATATATATATATATATATATATATATATATATATATATATATATATATATATATATATATATATATATATATATATATATATATATATATATATATATATATATATATATATATATATATGTCGTACCTAGTAGCCAGAACGTACTTCTCAGCCTACTATGCAAGGCCCGATTTGCCTAATAAGCCAAGTTTTCATGAATTAATTGTTTTTCGACTACCTAACCTACCTAACCTAACCTAACCTAACTTTTTCGGCTACCTAACCAAACCTAACCTTTAAAGATAGGTTAGGTGAGGTGAGGTAGGGTTGGTTAGGTTCGGTCATATATCTACGTTAATTTTAACTCCAATAAAAAAAATTGACCTCATACATAATGAAATGGGTAGCTTTATCATTTCATAAGAAAAAAATTAGAAAAAATATATTAATTCAGGAAAACTTGGCTTATTAGGCAAATCGGGCCTTGAATAGTAGGCCAAAAAGTGAGTTCTGGCTACTAGGTACGACATATATATATATATATATATATATATATATATATATATATATATATATATATATATATATATATATATATACTCCATCCAGACACAACTGTCAAGGTCAATGACATGTGCCTCAGGCGGACATTAAACCCATCTCCAGTCTCTCTCTTTCTCTCTCTCTCTTTACATATATATATATATATATATATATATATATATATATATATATATATATATATATATATATATATATGTAAAGAGAGAGACTGGAGATGGGTTTAATGTCCGCCTGAGGCACATGTCATTGACCTTGACAGTTGTGTCTGGATGGAGTGAGATGCCGGAGACTTATATTACACCTCCATTAAGAAATGAATTATCTCTAATATAAAAAAACACTTCTCTTCCCTACCCTCTCTCTCTCTCTCTCTCTCTCTCTCTCTCTCTCTCTCTCTCTCTCTCTCTCTCTCTCTCTCTCTCTCTCTCTCTCTCTCTCTCTCTCTCTCTCTCTCTCTCTCTCTCTCTCTCTCTCTCTCTCTCTCTCTCTCTCTCTCTCTCTCTCTCTCTCTCTCTCTCTCTCTCTCTCTCTCTCTCTCTCTCTCTCTCTCTCTCTCTCTCTCTCTCTCTCTCTCTCTCTCTCTCTCTCTCTCTCTCTCTCTCTCTCTCTCTCTCTCTCTCTCTCTCTCTCTCTCTCTCTCTCTCTCTCTCTCTCTCTCTCTCACTTAAATTCCGCACACAAATTTTTTTATAAGCATTATAAATGATACGATTTATGGAAAAACAACCTTTATTTCCTTAAAGTTTTTGACATATATACAAATTTCAGCAAACTTTTATAGGTGAGGGTGAAGACGAGGGTGAAGATGGTGAGGGAGCCGGTAGAACAAGCAGTTCTCTTTGACCCGATAAAATGATCAACTTGTAGTCGCCATCTGAATATTGATTACAAGACTTTGTCGTTCAGGGCTGTTTGTAGCTGGTGCTGGGGGCGGCGGGGCGGGGCGCTGAGTACTGGGGTGCCGGGGCTGAGGGCGCAGCGTACCGGTTACCGGCGGCGTCCTCCTGACGAGCCTTCTCGATCTGGGCGATGGCGTGGGCGGGGAGAGGAGGGGGCGTGGGCAGCAGGGGAGACTCCACGCGGTAACCTGCACCGTCAGCTACGAACTTAAAGACCCCCGGGGTGCCCTCAGGGAATTTGAACCTGTACACAAGAAGTATATTACAAACTTATACAGATTATGTTTATGGATACTATACTCATGTTCTTCATAGGGCAAAGGCATGTTTTTTTATCGGGTGTTTGCTAGATTCACAAGTTGTTACATATATTGCTGATTTATGTATAATTTAGCAAGGAAACTGTTTATTTTAGTCTCGATGGATCATCTACGACCAGTACTATAAGAATACTCACGACCATCCTCCCTGAGGTGCCACGGCGCCAGCTGGGCCCTGAGGGGCGCCCTGCTCCTGACGACTGATGCCGTCACCAGTCTCGAAGTTGAAGTTGTAGTTGCCGTACGCATCAGGTCCCTGACGCTCGTCCTTCACGATGGGCACAACAGGACCTGAGGGGGCGCCGTAGGATGGTGGAGGTGGCCCGTACCCCTGGGGCGCCGCGGCCGCCATCGCCACTACGACACACAACACCAACTTCTGTACAGGTAAGCAAGTAACATCCATTAACTATTAAACAACACAAGTCAATCTGAAATGCTAATTTTAATGTAATTTCAATACAGTACTATATATACATAAATCTGACAGTAATGGGGGAAGATGTACAGATATATCAACACGAGTGGTTCGTTCCAACTGTGATCTAGTGAGAGAGGACCAGTCACACAGTCACTGCCGCTGGAGGAGTCATTACCGAGAACATGTTGACTGTAAGAGTTGACTGTGTGCTGAATCTGGCGAGCCTTCTTATATATATATATGTCTCACTTCCCCACGCTCCGCCCACTCGACCATTCTTCATACTCACTCTCATTCACACTCATCCTCATTTGCACCTAGACTCTCACTCTCTCTCACTTACGCCTACTCTCACCCACCAATTCTCTATTAGTCATTCTTGCACCAATTCTCACTCACACTCACTGGGTCATTCTCTCTATAAATCACACTCACTCGTATCGGATCCCTTACATACTCACTCCCACCTACTCTCACACTCATTCTCTCTCAGCAGGCTTAATTGATCCTACTGAATTATACTTAATTCATTTTAATGTCACCTATGGTGTTTACTGGGAACTTAAGTCTCTCTGATAAGAATGCAACTCCCACACCACACTGATAAAAGTATACATTTATCGCTTGCGATCCTGGGCCTGATCCAAAGGGAGAGAAGGAAATAAAAGGTTCAGCAACTGTCAGGAAAAAGCTTTAAGCCAGTGTGCCGGGTTAGGGAGCCGGTCGGCCGAGCGGACAGCACACTGGACTTGTGATCCTGTGGTCCCGGGTTCGATCCCGGGAGCCGGCGAGAAACAATGGGCAGAGTTTCTTTCACCCTATGCCCCTGTTACCTAGCAGTAAAATAGGTACCTGGGTGTTAGTCAGCTGTCACGGGCTGCTTCCTGGGGGTTGAGGCATGGTCGAGGACCGGGCCGCGGGGACACTAAAGCCCCGAAATCATCTCAAGATAACCTCAAGAAGATAGCATACTGTGGTGTGAGGAACGGCTCGCAGGTATATGGTACCTCATCCACTTGGACCATCGGGGATCGAACCCAGATCGTGCAAGAGGCAAAATAGTCGCTCTATCATCCAGGTTGAGCACAGTAGAGTACTCAATATACAGTGAAGGGTAAGGGCAATAGGCTGGTGCTATAGTCTGTCCTCTCACCTAACGCGTCGCATTTTTAACGTAATCGACCAGTCCGTCAAAATATCGAGGTATTAACACAAGTTAAACCATCGTAACATTGACGTCTTCTAAGGTCTCGACTTTGATAGGCTCAAACGTTTCTGGTTAGGCAAAACCGTTACATTTTTGACAGAGTTGTAAATTTTGAATCACATCAAAAGTTTTTTTTTTTTTTTTTTTTTTTTACCCTAAGTACCTCAATTTCGACAATATCGACAACTGCGTACACATCGCTGGGCTTCAGAGGAACTGAATTATCACAGTTATATTCAGGTTCGTACGCATATAATTAGGACGACTAAACCCACTTAATATTAGACGCTTGTCCAGTCGTAGGAACCCAGCCACTTGGACCGGACGGTAGAGCGACGGTCTCGCTTCACGCAGGTCGGCGTTCAATCACCCGACCGTCCCAGAAGTGGTTGGGCAGCATTCCTTCCCCGCCGTTCCATCCCAAATCCTTATCCTGACCCCCCTTCCAAGTGCTATATAGTTGTAATAGCTTTGGGGCTTTCTCCAGATAATTACCGCCCTCCCATTTGTAGGAACTGGCTGAGTAGTGAAATACTCCGGATGTATTTACCTAGTTCTATGTGCTGGAAATGAGCTCCGGCTCTTGGGCCCCGCCTATCTAGTACGCCCAGGGAATGCTCCCGTTAGAAAGCACGTCCCTGTCAACTGTACTTTCACTCGTCCAGTTTCCTGTATTTTGATGAAATATGAAAGTTCAGAGCTAGCCAGACACACATTAACGCGGCAGCAAACATATACATTTTGCATAATTGCAAAACATTCTCAGCAAAATTTGGAGAAAATTTCAAGATCTTTCTCCTATGCAGCTGTGGCGTCGACGAGCAGCTGCCTCGTCTTGTGGCTAGGTTATGAGGCCTTAGTGTGCCGCATGGCACTCTTCCCAGTGCTCTGTGTACCACATGATACTCTACCAGGGCTCTATGTATCATATGACACTCCCCCAGGGCTCTATGTATCTTATGATACTTCCCCAGGGCTCTATTTATCTTATGATACTTCCCCAGGGCTCTATGTATCTTATGATACTTCCCCAGGGCTCTATGTATCTTATGATACTTCCCCAGGGCTCTATATATCTTATGATACTTCTCCAGGGCTCTATGTATCTTATGATACTTCCCCAGGGCTCTATGTATCTTATGATACTTCCCCAGGGCTCTATGTATCTTATGATACTTCCCCAGGGCTCTATGTATCTTATGATACTTCCCCAGGGCTCTATGTATCTTATGATACTTTCCCAGGGCTCTATGTATCTTATGATACTTCCCCAGGGCTCTATGTATCTTATGATACTTCCCCAGGGCTCTATGTATCTTATGATACTTCCCCAGGGCTCTATGTATCTTATGATACTTCCCCAAGGCTCTATGTATCTTATGATACTTCCCCAGGGCTCTATGTATCTTATGATACACTTCCACGTCTCTGTGTACCATGTGACACTCTACCAGGTCTATGTGTATCACATGACACTCTCCCAGGCTTTAGTGTGTCACATGACACTAACAGGACTGAATGTGCCACACGACACTAACAGGACTGAATGTGCCACACGACACTAACAGGACTGAATGTGCCACACGACACTAACAGGACTGAATGTGCCACACGACACTAACAGGACTGAATGTGCCACACGACACTAACAGGACTGAATGTGCCACACGACACTAACAGGACTGAATGTGTCACATGACACTAACAGGACTGAATGTGTCACATGACCCTCTCCCAGGTCATAGTATATCACATGACACTCACAGGACTGAATGTGTCACATGACACTCACAGGACTGAATGTGTCACATGACACTCACAGGACTGAATGTGTCACATGACACTCACAGGACTGAGTACTGTAGCACGTGATAATGTACTGAATAAATTCCTAGGTTGAATTTTCACTGTATATTGAATATACTGTTTCTTTCAGCTGTGATAATATTATGTAATGTTGAAGTGCTAGCTCTTAACACTATGTTGCAGTGCAAACTTATAACCTCATGTTACACTTCTAACTCATAACCCTATGTTGCCATTTTAACTCGGATACGAGGTTGTTGGAGAGGTTGTTAGCTCTATGTTGGAGAGCTAACTCCAAGCTCTATGTTGGAGAGCTAACTCAAAACCCTATGTTGGAGAGCTAACTCAAAACTCTATGTTGGAGAGCTAACTCCAAACTCTATGTTGGAGAGCTAACTCCAAACTATGTTGGAGAGCTAACTCCAAACTCTATATTGGAGAGCTAACTCCAAACTCTATGGTAGAGAGCTAACTCCAAGCTCTATGTTAGAGAGCTAACTCCAAGCTCTATGTTGGAGAGTTAACTCCAAACTCTATGTTGGAGAGCTAACTCCAAGCTCTATGTTGGAGAGTTAACTCAAGACATGAAACTCTTTCTGAAGGGATGTTCCTCAGCCGACAATCCTACACGTGACAGGTATTTTGTTGACATCCCCTGTTTCCGATTTTGGCGATCCCGTATCCGACTTTAACAACCTCGTATCCGATTTAAAACACCGCCGTATCCGAATTTTTACCATCCCCCAAGTGAGTGGGCGGAGCGTGGGGAAGTGAGACATATATATATATAAGAAGGCTCGCCAGGTCCAGCACACAGTCAACTCTTACAGTCAACATGTTCTCGGTAATGACTCCTCCAGCGGCAGTGACTGTGTGACTGGTCCTCTCTCACTAGATCACAGTTGGAACGAACCACTCGTGTTGATATATCTGTACATCTTCCCCCATTACTGTCAGATTTATGTATATACAGTACTGTATTGAAATTACATTAAAATTAGCATTTCAGATTGACTTGTGTTGTTTAATAGTTAATGGATGTTACTTGCTTACCTGTACAGAAGTTGGTGTTGTGTGTCGTAGTGGCGATGGCGGCCGCGGCGCCCCAGGGGTACGGGCCACCTCCACCATCCTACGGCGCCCCATCAGGTCCTGTCGTGCCCATCGTGAAGGACGAGCGTCAGGGACCTGATGCGTACGGCAACTACAACTTCAACTTCGAGACTGGTGACGGCATCAGTCGTCAGGAGCAGGGCGCCCCTCAGGGCCCAGCTGGCGCCGTGGCAGCTCAGGGAGGATGGTCGTGAGTATTCTTATAGTACTGGTCGTAGATGATCCATCGAGACTAAAATAAACAGTTTCCTTGCTAAATTATACATAAATCAGCAATATATGTAACAACTTGTGAATCTAGCAAACACCCGATAAAAAACATGCCTTTGCCCTATGAAGAACATGAGTATAGTATCCATAAACATAATCTGTATAAGTTTGTAATATACTTCTTGTGTACAGGTTCAAATTCCCTGAGGGCACCCCCGGAGTCTTCAAGTTCGTAGCTGACGGTGCAGGCTACCGCGTGGAGTCTCCCCTGCTGCCCACGCCCCCGCCTCTCCCCGCCCACGCCATCGCCCAGATCGAGAAGGCTCGTCAGGAGGACGCCGCCGGTAACCGGTACGCTGCGCCCTCAGCCCCGGCACCCCAGTACTCAGCGCCCCGCCCCGCCGCCCCCAGCACCAGCTACAGACAGCCCTGAAGAACACATTCCCATAGAAAATAATCCAACGTTTGCTACTTCTAGTACTGACTGTATATGTGCGAAAACATTCCAAAAATAAAGTAATGTATTTGTAAAATATTGATGTGTTGTAAATTGTATAATGGTGATCGCATCCTTTGCGTCTGACTGGTGACTCTAATTTAGTGATTGATTCGTGATTTACTCGTGGTGCCTGATTTTTTCATTCACTTCTGGTGATTGACTCTTCGTCCACTTATGGTGAGTAAATGGTGACCCGCACTTGGTGAGTGAACAGTTAATGTGGGTCAAATTGTGATAATGGTCGTCCACTCATGATAAATGAATCATGAGCCACTCTAGGAAATCTAATGGCGCCTCACTGTTTCAATTACCCTTTCGCGATCCATTTCTCCAGACCCCTCTTTTCCTTTCTATCTCCCTATCGTCGTAACCCCATTCCTATTTTCTTCTTCCTTCCTATTTCCCCTTCTCCTTCCATAACCTCCTTCCCTTTCATCTTTACCCTTCATAGGAACCCTGATGACCTTCTCTCACCTTTCTGAGTATCACGAAGGGAAAGAAACTCGTTTGGTCACGAAAACTTCTTGCATCATATGGTCCTGGGCTCCGTTTGGGTGCGTGTGTGCGTGTGTGGAGGAAAAGAGAGAAGGAGAGGGAGAGGTAGAGAGAGTGACATAACCTTGAGTATTCTGATGTCGGACTGTGCATTCGCTACAACTCTAAAGTGTCTAGCGACTACAACCGATCAGAATGAGCGCTTACCACAAGGTTAAGAGGCGCTATACACACAACTGTAATGTGTGTATAGTTTTCCAAAACTTCCCAACAGCTATCAGCTTAACCCACAGCTGATAGTGGGTTAAATGAGAGGCTTGCGTGCGGAAGACACAGTTCCCATGGGTGGTAGTTACCTCGTTCGCCAGGAGACGTGCAGGGTTATACATGGAGAAGGTTTCGGGAGTTCTACTTCCCGAACCCGGCCTGGGGCCAGGCTCGACAGGGTAGTAAATGGTGTTTTTTTTGGTGTTTCGCCACACGTACTGGAAACATTTTAGGGCTGTGAAATGTGGCTTCCAACACTCCCACAGGTATATGGAGAGAGAGAGAGAGAGAGAGAGAGAGAGAGAGAGAGAGAGAGAGAGAGAGAGAGAGAGAGGAGAGAGAGAGAGGAGAGAGAGAGAGAGAGAGAGAGAGAAGAGAGAGAGAGAGAGAGAGAGAGAGAGAGAGAGAGAGAGAGAAGAGAGAGAGAGAGAGAGAGAGAGAGAGTAATGTCTACCAGCTCATGACAACTAGTAAATAAGAAGCACGTCAAATGTTTGTAACCAAGTTAGGAGGAAGGGAGGAAGGAGGAATCGCTGTCAGTACTGTACATAGCCTTTAGAAGAGATTTAAAGACAAGACTCTGAGATATAAAGGAAAGAAACTGGGTTATGAGGACAAGGAGCTGGAATATGAGGACAAAAACCTGGAATAAGTGGAAAATGAGCTAGAATATGAGGACTAGAAACTGGGATATGAGGACAAGGAGCTGGGATATGAGGACAAGAAGCTAGAATATTAGGACAAGAAGCTGGTATATGAGGACAAGGAGCTAGGATATGAGGACAGACTGCAGGAACATCTCACAACCAATTGGACCCCCTGGAGAAGAGAGTAACATGTTTATGATACCGCTACTTTCTAAAGATATTGGTTAATAGATGTGGCTCCAGTGTAAACAAACACTCTTACGTTTGTCTAACTCTTACCTTCCTCTCGCACTCAATCTTACCCTGAGTACCAGTGGTAAGATTGAGTGCACTCTCAAAAAAGATCTCCGAGAGGCCACCTTAAGAAGTTTCTATTATTAACAGAAGTAAAATTACGTTTTTTTGTCAAGAGAAACAATAAATTTTAAGCAAGCAAACTTTACGATTGACTTAAGAAACCTAGACAAGTATGCTTTCAGAATGGTATATATATATTGCGTGCAGGTCGGCGTTCGATCCCCGATGGTCCAAGTGGTTGGGCAGCGTTCCTTCCTTCTATCCTCAAATCCCGGCTCATTGTCCTCACATTCCAGTTATCTGTCCTCATATCCCAGAGTATGTAGTATCAGCGTGGAGCTCCCACTGTTTAAAGTACAACATGTAAGATAAGAAAGTACAAAGATATGCAGTAAGACTAGTTCTAGAAATGAGGATGGTTGATCTATGAGATCTTGAGCTGAATCTAATGACACTTAAAGAAAGGAGAAATGGAGGAGGCATGATCCAGACATACAAAATAGTCAAGGTTATTTATAAAATATATAGGAACACTGTTTAGATAGAGAATCAACATAACGAGAGTACACATACATGGAAGCAAAACACCTAGATGGGGTTTGAATAAAGATTTCTTCAGTGTATCTTGAGGTTATCTTGAGATGATTTCGGGGCTTTAGTGTCCCCGCGGCCCGGTCCTCGACCAAGCTTCCACCCCCAGGAAGCAGCCCGTGACAGCTGACTAACACCCAGGTACCTATTTTACTGCTAGGTAACAGGGGCATTCAGGGTGAAAGAAACTTTGCCCATTTGTTTCTGTCTCGTGCGGGAATCGAACCCGCGCCACAGAATTACGAGTCCTGCGCGCTATCCACCAGGCTACGAGGCCCCTACGAGGCCCCTGAAATTGCGTCTCCAGTAAGGTCAAATAAACAAATGAAACGAACTGGAAGATGAAATAGTGAAGTCTTCCTCCATCCACAGTTTTAAAAGCAGTTAGTACAAGAATTGTGAGAGACGTGAATCATGACATTAGCATACCTTAAGATTTAAATTGAAATTGAAATAAGTTTATTGAGGTAAAATACACACAAAGGGATGAGGTAGCTCAAGCTATTCTCACCCCGTTCAGTACATCGTGTTAATTCATATATAGACACACATCACAAACAATAAACATATTACCAAACATTCTGAGAGATAAACATATACATTTCCTACCTTGTCATAGTAGTCTAAGAGTAGATTAGATTAGTAATAGATGCCATAGAGGAATAGATTCCCTCGGGAGCTGAGTGCTTGGGGCTTCAAACTCTCTTTAAGTAACAATATGTCACTGATTTGTCGCATTAAAACTTACTTAAACCCCCTGTTTCATTTTCGTTTTATTTGAAAAAAGAAAAGAAAAAATAAGATTACCTCCAAAAGATGGGGTATAAGAAGAGAAATCTTCAGTGTGTGACTTATAAGATTAGTCAAGTCACGGACGCAGGATAAGGATAATCATCTTATCATCGCAACTGACAAAGAAATACTTCCTGCACTTATATCATTCAATATAAAATTCTTCCCCCAAACTGTATGTTGGTGTGTAGGAAGTATACTCCCCTAAATGTGCTTGCAGGATCCAACTAGGCTCCTAGCTCCTCCTGAACGTTCTTAGATTAGCGCAGTGACCCGTTTCTCACGCTTTTATCATATTTACATATATGTAATATATGATATGTAAATAAATTTCGAATCGAATTAGCTTCAACGACTCCTACATCTAATCTATTCCATTTATTGACAGCTCTGAGACTGGAAAATTCTTCCTGATGTTTCGAAGACTCATTTGCGTCTCCAGTTTCCTTCTATGACCTTTTACCAGTGTGGTAAGGTCCACTTCTAACAGCTCAATCCCCTCAGCTCCGGAACGAATCTTGTTACATGTTTTTTTTACCTTTTTATAACTTCTCTTTGTCCTTTTTCAGGAAGGGTGACCATGCTGGGAATGCATATTCAAGAGTGGTTCTCACCTTCGCTGTATATAGAGCCCGGAAAACCCATTGTCCAAGTTTCTGAAGGATGTACGGATGTTAGCCAGCATGCCATATGCAACTGTTGTTATTCTGCTAATGTGGGCTTCTGGTATCAGATTTGGGGTTATATCCACTCCCAGGTCTTTCTCTTTTTATGATTGAAGAATATGTCTTCCCTTCATCCCAAATTGCTGTACTGGTCTTCGCACTCCTGTTAAAATCCTCATAACTTTGCATTTGGCTGAGTTAAATTCTAGCAGCCATTTTTCAGATCACTTCTAGAGTGTGTCCAGATCCTCTTGCAATGCATCTCAATCTAACCCTGACCTGACTCTTCTCATTAGTTTTACATCATCTGCAAACATTGATTTGAAGGAGCCAATTTCCTCTGTCAGGTCAATGACAAACATCAGAAACAGGATGGGTCCTAGAACCGTCCCTTGTGGTGGTATAAATCTTTCTTCGGCTTCTGTGAGTTTATCCGTTACGTAGTTCATCATGTCTGGTGCTGATTTGCCTCTGAGAGCTCATCTTCACTCTATCCTCCCCAGGAATTCCCTGCCCTGGTATTCTGCTCTCCTGTATGCTAGCCTAGCCTTAAAGGTGTGTACGTGTGTGTGTGTGTGTGTGTGTGGTGTGTGTGTGTGTGTGTGTGTGTGGTGTGTGTGTGTGTGTGTGTTGGTGTGTGTGTGTGTGTGTGCCCCGCTCCTGTGCCAGGTAAGTCCATCACGGGCTCACCATAGCCCGTGCTACTTGCCCTGCTCCTGTGCCAGGTAAGTCCATCACGGGCTCACCATAGCCCGTGCTACTTGCCCCGCTCCTGTGCCAGGTAAGTCCATCACGGCTCACCATAGCCCGTGCTACTTGCCCCGCTCCTGTGCCAGGTAAGTTCATCGCGGGCTCACCATAGCCCGTGCTACTTGGAACTTTTAGTTCCCAGTAACTGAATCTTAAACAACACGGAACACACACACACACACACACACACACACACACACACACACACACACACACACACACACACACAAAAGTGATTTCCTTGAAGTGAAAATTGTCGTGTTTTTCAATTTATTAATCAATTAAAAACATGATTTTTCGATGCCGATTAAATCAGATAACCCGTAGGTAGTGCCGCCTTCAGAGGCGGAGTCGGTGTCCTTGAGAGACGTTCCTCCTGAAGCAACGGTGCCTCCTGAAGCAACGGTGCCTCCTGAAGCAACGGTGCCTCCTGAAGCAACGGTGCCTCCTGAAGCAACGGTGCCTCCTGAAGCAACGGTGCCTCCTCCTAGACAGGAGGAGACAAGTCACGGGTGGCACTGAGGAAGGAAGAGCATAGGTGCCCTTCTTTAACCCTCTCTGTCTCTCCTTCAGACTCCCTCGTTGTAAAGGTCAAACGAGGTCAAGAAATGATGAGCTTATACAACGCCTCGTAACTATTGGAGAGGGGGGGGGGGTGATTGGACAGGCAGGCGAGAGTTCCTTTCTTCCCTTCGTCTTGGCGAGGAGAAGCGAGGTTCTCGCTCTAGCAAAAACTGCCTTCAGCTTACACAAAGACATTGTTCGGCCCCTTTTTAATATGAACACACATTATCAAATCTGACCCACACACACACATATGTATTTGTGTGTGTGTGCCAGGTAAGTCCACTACGGGCTCACTATACCCCGTGCTACATGCCGCTCCTGTGTCAAGTAAGTCCACTACGGGATCACCATACCCCGTGCTACATGTTGCCATTAGCTGAATCTAAAACAACAACACAGTTTACTAGACGTAAATATCAAAACAATGGAAGAAAGCATAACACTGGATTTAAATCGAACTTAAATAGATTAAGAAATAGAACTTTAAATAGAACTTTAAATAGATTGAGAAAATATCCTTTCAAGCATAGTTTTGGCAGGAGAGTGACTGCCATATAAGCTTCCCGGGGACTTAAGCTGTTTCAAGCTGACCAAAAGGCTGAAAACAGTTAATTTTACAACATTAAACCAAAAAAAAACATTAAAAGCTTTAAAGCATTTCTTCAAGTCGGGTTCTGAGATGCTGATCAACACATCCCTCGAGGAAATTAAATGGCATATATGAAGAAATTGTAAGAATATTGTAAATCCAAATCTGTTAACAAAAATTTTTGATTAAATTTGCAACATCCTGATTGACAAGACCGTCAAGCAGGCGAACAGGTCAGAGACCGGGCCGTGGGTACCCCGACCCTTCAAACCACATTAAGGTAACTCTTGCTGTGGGTTATTGGTTGACATCAATTAGATGACATCATTAATGGCTCTATTGCAAAGCTTTATAAGTTCCTATTTGCAACTTAGACTGCTGGTTGCACCCCGGGTATGGGTGGAACAGTCTACAAAGTTGTAACTTAAGTGGATTGATCTCTTCCTTGAGAGAGAGAGAGAGAGAGAGAGAGAGAGAGAGAGAGAGAGAGAGAGAGAGAGAGAGAGAGAGAGAGAGAGAGAGAGAGAGAGAGAGAGAGAGAGAGAGAGAGAGAGAGAGAGAGAGAGAGAGAGAGAGAGGAGAGAGAGAGAGAGAGAGAGAGAGAGACAGAGAGAGAGACAGAGAGAGAGAGAGAGAGAGAGAGAGAGAGAGAGAGAGAGAGAGAGAGAGAGAGAGAGAGAGAGAGAGAGAGAGAGAGAGGAGAGAGAGAGAGAGAGAGAGAGAGAGAGAGGCGTTCGTTGGTGTGTGAATCTTTCATTAAGACTCACACGAACGAACGCATATACGAAGGTACTGTTGCGAAAGTCACGAATTATGTTTTTATGTCCAAAAAAAAAAACGAGAAACATTATAAACACCTGATAAACGAAGTAGAGACAATTGATAAGCGAAGAATAACAATTGATAAACGGAGAAGAGAGACCAGACGACTTCAGGTTGTGGTCCAGACAACATATTATATATGTATATATTCACATATATATCTCATACTACAAATACACAAAGCAAACATAAATAATACAAAAATTATGACACGGAAACGCTCACATTTATTGAAGGATAAACTGATTTCTTTTATTTAGGAAGTTCACAAAGGTCAATCCAACAAAAAAAAAGGTGCATATATTAACATTTTCTCGTCTCTCTCTCGTATCAGATCATAAGATATTTCATTTAACAGAGCAAAGATATATATTTTAAGATACTAGTGGGACGTGTCCTTGTCGGGTCAAATACGCCCCGCTATATTTTCTCTTATTTCTCAATCATTAGGTGTTGCCTTGTACGTCCCTGCTAGAAGAAGAAGAAGAAGAAGGTTTTCATGGACGCGCGTTGCTTCACTGTCGTGTACGGGGGAGGAAAGTAGGTATCCTTCACCTTGGTGTCGACAGGGTTTGTATGTGAGAGGGGAAATGTTAGGCCAGGTATAAAACGCCTGGCATGGGACTCCATCCTTACAGTCCTCGTCAGGTTAAGCCCTTCGTCGCTGCTCTCCTCAGCCGCCTCTACCGACATGTTGGCCAGGGTAAGTCGACGACGGGTTCTCTCGCTGTTGTGGGGGGGACGTCTCTACCCTGTGGTAACGTAGAGGGGCTGCGAGGTCTACAGAGGTCTCGTGCCAACTTCTCGCAATTGACATATTGTCTGTTTCTTGTCTTACAGACGCTGTTATTGTTCGCGGTGACTGCGGGTGCCAGTGCCAGGCCTCAAAGCTTCCCGGCACCGGGCAGTGCCCCTGGAGGATTCGGTGCAGGGCAGAGCCAGATACCGTTCAGACCTCAAGTGCGTCCACCTCCAGGCAGCGCCCCTGGAGGATTCGGTGCAGGGCAGAGCCAGATACCGTTCAGACCTCAAGTGCGTCCACCTCCAGGCAGCGCCCCTGGAGGATTCGGTGCAGGTCAGAGCCAGATACCCTTCAGACCTCAAGTGCGTCCTCCGCCAGGTAGCGCCCCTGGAGGATTCGGTGCAGGTCAGAGCCAAATACCCTTCGGACCACAAGCTGACCAACCTATCCAGCGGCCTCCTAGACCTTTCGTGCCTTCCGGAGAAGTGATCCCTATCCTGGTGGACGAACGAGACGGACCTCACCCAGACGGCTCGTACAGCTTCAACTTCGAGACTGATAATGGCATCAGTCGCTACGAGCAAGGCACGCCCCAGGGGGAGGCTGGCGCCGTGGCCATGCAAGGCGGATGGTCGTGAGTATCCCAAGTCCTATCTAGTAACACTAGAACACCTTTATGCCTCGTTTTCTTCTTGTAACTCCTCTAGGTTACATAACTAGCCTCCTCGCTCGCTTCTATATTGAGAGGGAGAGCTGGGCACTGCTTCGTGCATTTCAAATTGAACATGATACTAAGGGAAATTTTAATAGTTTTATTCTTTGTTGTGTCATTTCTCGTGTTCAGATGATCAAATGGCAGATGTGCTGTTCAATTATTGCTGCATGAATGTTTGTTCAATCTAATACCTGCACGAGTGTGTGTTCACTTTAACACCTGCACGAATGTGTTCATGTGTTTTAATTTTGTGTTCACCCGAGTTCAGAGTCTATCCTTATGAAGCCGGAGGGCCTACTCACCCGCCCCTCTCTCACATATTACCCCCTATTCCATTGTCCAGTTGTTCCCTTCACTTCTTCCTTTCCCATCTCACCTCCTCCTCCCTGTTCCTCTCCTATCCCTCGTCATCCTGGCCCCTTTCTGTGCCAGATATGCCTTGTTTAACGCCTCTACGCCCCTGTCTCTCTTCCACACAGCACTTCTTCTCTTCCTCGTCCCTTCATCTACCCACCTTAATCCCTCTGGAGGGCATAGAACTTCCTTGATTGTTAGTGTAGAGCTTATTGGCTCTCTGAGATTATAGAGCATCCCTGAAGGATAATGAGTAGTTTACTGGCACTCTGGGGGCCATAGAACTTCCCTGGTTGTTAGAGTGTCGAGCTTACCACTCTGAAGCCATAGAGTTGTATTGAGAATTTATGTTCTAAACACGTCTTTCCAGTGACGTGAGGTTCAACCCCTTTAGTCTTTCCTCGTAGCTCATGCCTCTCAGCTCTGGGACTAGTCTAGTGGCATACCTCTGATTTTTTTTCCAGCGTTGCAGTATGTTTAAGAACTCCACGTTGGTGCCGCATATTCAAGAATTGGTCTGACATATGTTAAATATAAGGTCCTCAACGACTCTGTATTTAAGTTTCTGAAAGCAGTTCTTATTGTGGCCAACCTTTCATATACAAGGTTGGCCTCAGCTCCTGGACGCCGGTTTTTTGTTTAATTGGGGATTGAGTTGGCGTCTAAGAATATCCTCGTTTAGTTCATTTCATTTTCTCAGATCTATATATCCCATCTACGTCTCAAGTTTTCATTTATGTCTTCTTGTTCTAATGGTATTCATTACGAATATTTCTCCTTTTTCCACTCTGGTCCCTATTTTGTATGTCTCTATCATAGGGAGCCGGTCGGCCGAGCGGACATCACGCTGGACTTGTGATCCTGTGGTCCTGGGTTCGATCCCAGGCGCCGGCGAGAAACAGTGGGCAATGTTTCTTTCACCCTATGCCCCTGTTACCTAACAGTAAAATAGGTACCTGGGTGTTAGTCAGCTGTCACGGGCTGCTTCCTGGGGGTGGAGGCCTGGTCGAGGACCGGGCCGCGGGGACACTAAAAAGCTCCGAAATCATCTCAAGATAACCTCAAGATAGATCATGTCTCCATTGTTTTGCGTTGTCCATGAAGAGCCGTGAGAAACTCACGGTTGAACTTTCTCCCAGTTAGAGTTGAGATCGTTGTATGTCTATACTGACTGTATATGAACAGGAGTGGATTTGTTTATGGATATTTTCTTCTATAGACGTGGTTATTCACTTACAATGGTAACCAGCCTATATACACTTTCTTCTGCCGCTCTGTGGATAGAGTCAGGAACCTGTTAAGAGCTCTATAGTTTAGTGAGCAATTGAGCACTCAACCACAGGTGATTGTGGTGTTTCTTACAACGCCTACCAGCAATCACAGATCGTTGGATGTGTGTCCTCAGGTTGAACGCGGTTTGCGTTGATTGCTTGCAATGTCTAAAGGTGTTCCGTGGCCACGGAAGCTAAGTCATATTGGAACATAGGGAAACACAAGCTAAGTCATAGTAACACACAAGATGGTGAAGGGCTATTGTCTCCCTAAGGTCTAAATACGACCACTAAGGTCACCCAAAGCTCGTAGCGTAGCGGAAGTTCAAATTAAACTGGAATTGTTTAACGCTTTATCATGTATCCTTCCTCAGATTCACTTTCCCCGACGGAACTCCCGCCGTCTTCAAATTCGTGGCCGACGAACTCGGCTACCGTGTGGAGTCCCCTCTGCTGCCCACGCCCCATCCTCTTCCCGCCCACGCCATCGCCCAGATCGAGTTCGCCCGCCAACAGGAGGCTCGCGGAGGCGCGTCGGGCACCAGGCCGTCGTACGGGTCTTAAGGTGTCCCTTGTGTGCTTAACTTCCCTGTGTTGCCTTCGTGTCTGGCTCTCACGCGGTCGTCTAGCTGCTGTAGACGGCTCAGGCTGCCCCGGGAGCACTCCAGCGCCACCTCAAGTCGCACCAACGGAGCGCTATATAAGTGTTGCCTCCGTTTCCGTCTGTGTAAGCGGAAGTGCAGTGCTGTCGAAGCGACTTGATTCATCTCTGATGTTTATAATTATTACAGCAAAATTATATAATAAAAACAGATGCAAAAAAGAGGGAAGTTTGGTTAAATTATTCCGATGGCTCTTGGTGCTGTAGTACACGGGATATAGGTAAAGGTTACCAGCTTACTGCTCAAGTTAGTTTGTCGGTGCTTGTGTAATCTGTCTTCTTATGAAGACCGTCGCATCTGGTAGGTTAGGAGTAGGTCCTCTGGTAGGTTAGGAGTAGGTCCTCTGGTAGGTTAGGAGTAGGTCCTCTGGTAGGTTAGAAGTAGGTCCTCTGGTAGGTTAGAAGTAGGTCCTCTGGTAGGTTAGAAGTAGATCCTCTGGTAGGTTAGGAGTAGGTCCTCTGGTAGGTTAGAAGTAGGTCCTCTGGTAAGTTAGAAGTAGGTCCTCTGGTAGGTTAGAAGTAGATCCTCTGGTAGGTTAGGAGTAGGTCCTCTGGTAGGTTAGAAGTAGGTCCTCTGGTAAGTTAGAAGTAGGTCCTCTGGTAGGTTAGAAGTAGGTCCTCTGGTAGGTTAGGAGTAGGTCCTCTGGTAGGTTAGAAGTAGGTCCTCTGGTAAGTTAGAAGTAGGTCCTCTGGTAGGTTAGGAGTAGGTCCTCTGGTAGGTTAGGAGTAGGTCCTCTGGTAGGTTAGGAGTAGGTCCTCTGGTAGGTTAGAAGTAGGTCCTCTGGTAGGTTAGGAGTAGGTCCTCTGGTAGGTTAGAAGTAGGTCCTCTGGTAAGTTAGGAGTAGGTCCTCTGGTAGGTTAGAAGTAGGTCCTCTGGTAAGTTAGGAGTAGGTCCTCTGGTAGGTTAGAAGTAGGTCCTCTGGTAAGTTAGAAGTAGGTCCTCTGGTAGGTTAGGAGTAGGTCCTCTGGTAGGTTAGAAGTAGGTCCTCTGGTAGGTTAGGAGTAGGTCCTCTGGTAGGTTAGAAGTAGGTCCTCTGGTAGGATAGAAGTAGGTCCTCTGGTAGGATAGAAGTAGGTCCTCTGGTAGGATAGAAGTAGGTCCTCTGGTAGGATAGGAGAGACCAATTTAAAATGACCGGTTTCTTGACGCTGGAAAACCTTAGGGGGACGGGTTGACTTGTGGCGGGTCGGGGCTTGTGGCGGGTCAGTGCTTGAGGCGGGTCAGCCTTCCCTGTGTCCATCCTTTCAGGTTATTACGTTGCAATTCAAGATATACGCAATAGATAACTCAGCACAACTCTGGACTTGTGCATCACAATAGCCATATTACCATTGCGTCAGTCTGGTTCAACAAGTTCAGCAGTCTGGTTCAACAAGACAGCATCAGTCTGGTTCAACAAGTTCAACAACATCTTTCCTCTCCCATAGGAGTCAACAACAAGAGCCAACAACAGCAGCAACAGCAACAACCTGTTCTTCTGCTGAGCTGTGGGACTCGTTCAGCTTGTCCGCTTATCAGCGCCCTGGATGCCAGGGAAGAAACCCTCCGGTAACATATACGCGTGTTAAATCAAGCTTGTGGCGTTACATACACCTTGTGTGTTACTTGAAGCTTGTATATACAATACAATACAATACAATTTTATTTAGGTAAGGTACATACATACAATAAATATTTACAAGGATTGTTTGACTTATAGGTAGAGCTAGTACATACAATGCCTAAAGCCACTATTACGCAAAGCGTTTCGGGCATGACGAAAATCATGAAAATATGTTAAATCAAGCTTTCGTGTTTCATCACGCTACTGTGTATGCCTGATGGGAATCAGGAGGAGGGTTGAGTAGCACCTTTGCTTAAGAGAGCAACGGAGTTAATGTGTTTACGACTCAGACAGCAACATTGTCTCGCCTGGTACTCCCTCATGCAGCTGTTGTGTTTGTTTTGGTCCTCACAGCGTCGAGAGTAGCTTTTATGCTGAGGACCGTTCCCTCAACACGCTCTCAAAGTGCATTCTTGCTTTCACGTGTGATGTATTGTAATGCATTGAGTAAATGCATTGTATTTGTGGGTATGTATATATATATATGTGAGTGTGTGTGAGTGTGTGTGTGTGTGTGTGTGTGTGTGTGTGTGTGTGTGTGTGTGTGTGTGTGTGTGTGTGTGTGTGTGTGTGTGTGTGTGTGTGTGTGTGTGTGTAACTTTAAACAAGAATGATATCTCACCTGAGATATCATTGTCCACAATAATTTACACCAACAAGGTACACAGAGAGAGCAAGCGTAGAGAGCACACACCTGAGTGCGTGCCACACACACACACACACACACACACACACACACACACACACACACACACACACACACACACACACACACACACACACACACACACACACACACACACACACACGTGTCCAACTACACCTCAACCCTAAACCAGCTGTCAATCATAGACTTGGCAGCTCGTCCGAACTCCTGGCGAGGGTAGGGAAGAGGTTATAAACACAGACGATATATATATATATATATATATATATATATATATATATATATATATATATATATATATATATATATATATGTATATATATATGTATATATATATGTGTGTGTGTGTGTGTGTGCGCGGTGGCCTTAATAGCCTCCACAGAGGTTAACAATCTCAACACCGAACCATTGGGTGGTTGGGGTGGGGGTGGGGGTGGGGGGGTATACTGGACAACCTGTCCTCTTACAAAAATAATTAGGTTAGGTGGGTTGCTTGGGCTAGTGCGTTTCTGATTAGGTTAGGAGGTTGGATTATGTACGTTGTGCACATCAAGAGAATAGCCTGAGATGCCATGGAAGATCACTGCGACATAGACAGCAGCTGGGAATTAACTAAAAGACAGAAGTATAAGTATATCAGAGTGTTTTCAGTCATAAATAAACAGGTGTCATACGTCTGCAGCGAAACAGGCACACGACGTGTGTGTGGAGGTTCGGTGTTACGCGACGAGGCTCGCGAGACACCGGTGCTGAGGGTTCAGAGAAAGTCAGAACTCTACGGCCAAGCTGAGCAGGTGCTTATAGAGGTTCCCCGAGATAGTTAATTGTTCGGAGATTCACAGAGACGGTAAAGGTTCAGAGAGAGAGAGACACAGAGACGGTAAAGGTTCAGAGAGAGAGACACACAGAGACGGTAAAGGTTCAGAGAGAGAGAGACACAGAGACGGTAAAGGTTCACAGAGACACAGAGACGGTAAAGGTTCACAGAGAGAGACACAGAGACGGTAAAGGTTCACAGAGAGAGAGAGACACAGAGACGGTAAAGGTTCACAGAGAGAGAGAGACACAGAGACGGTAAAGGTTCACAGAGAGAGAGAGACACAGAGACGGTAAAGGTTCACAGAGAGAGAGAGACACAGAGACGGTAAAGGTTCACAGAGAGAGACACAGAGACGGTAAAGGTTCACAGAGAGAGACACAGAGACGGTAAAGGTTCACAAAGAGAGACACAGAGACGGTAAAGGTTCACAGAGAGAGACACAGAGACGGTAAAGGTTCACAGAGAGAGACACAGAGACGGTAAAGAGTCTCAGAGAGAGACACATAGACGGTAAAGGTTCACAGAGAGAGACACAGAGACGGTAAAGGTTCACAGAGAGAGACACAGAGACGGTAAAGGTTCACAGAGAGAGACACAGAGACGGTAAAGGTTCACAGAGAGAGACACAGAGACGGTAAAGGTTCACAGAGAGAGACACAGAGACGGTAAAGGTTCACAGAGAGAGACACAGAGACGGTAAAGGTTCACAGAGAGAGACACAGAGACGGTAAAGGTTCACAGAGAGAGACACAGAGACGGTAAAGGTTCACAGAGACGGTAAAGGTTCACAGAGAGAGACACAAAGACGGTAAAGGTTCACAGAGAGAGACACAGAGATGGTAAAGGTTCACAGAGAGAAACACAGAGACGGTAAAGGTTCACAGAGACGGTAAAGGTTCACAGAGAGAGACACAGAGACGGTAAAGGTTCACAAAGAGAGACACAGAGACGGTAAAGGTTCACAGAGAGAGACACAGAGACGGTAAAGGTTCACAGAGAGAGACACAGAGACGATAAAGGTTCACACAGAGAGAGACACAGAGACGGTAAAGGTTCACAGAAAGAACGAGAGATAGGGAGGGTGTGGTATGCAGTTACCACAGAAGAGTGTGGAGATTGTCTGACTGGCAGAGACCCTTGGGAAAGTATCCATGTACCCCCCGATAACGGCAGACATCTTACTGCTGACAGAAAAACAAAGAACAAATAAGATTGACACATAAATAGAGAAGTTATATCACCAAATAAAAGGAAGAATATATTTGGTCAGAAATGATTGATGGGAACTAATTTGGCTCATGGGGGGACTCCACCCATGGGGTTCAGGGATTCTTCCTTAAGTCGATGCTTACTTAACCCAAGGAGCCAACGAGGCGTTTAACCCGAGACTAAATATATAGGAAAGTTCAACAAGATCACTAGAATATTTTATGATAATGTTTATTGTGAAGTTTTGGCAACAATAACAGCAAGAGACAACAAACAAAACAATGTAAAATAACAAAAGTGGAGAACATGTGTCAAGCGTCTTAAGCAGCGCCCCGGGAAGACTGTCCAGAGTCCTCAACTCTGCTGGTAGCATTAAGGAGGCGGAGTCTGCTGGGGACGACCTCCGCTCCTGCAGCAGAAGCAGCAAGCGTTTGCCTCATGGCAGACAAGAAGGGAGGGGCAAGACTGAGATCCTTAGTGATGTCACTGCTTGTCATTAGCGAAGTCGCTGCCTGTCACCTGAAGCAGCAGCTTCTGCCTCCTGCTGGCGGGCGAACTCGATCTGGGCGATGGCGTGGGCGGGAAGAGGATGGGGCGTGGGCAGCAGGTCGGACTCCGGACGGTAGCCATCACCGTCGGCCACGAAGCTGAATATAGCAGGTGACCCGTCGGGGAAGGTGAACCTGTGAGGGAGAAATAAGGGCTAGACTAAGGTCACCTTCGCTCTCCTGACCTTAATAAGTGTGAAGTGGTCCCCAAATGCCCTAAAGGGACGACGGGCTTCCGTTCACACCAGCGAGTCAAAAGTTAACAACAGCTTTATGATGCTGGAAACTGCTGGAACTTTATAAACCTTTCAGAGATTTATTATCATCTAAAGATGAAAATAACAATAATACTTGAGACCCCGAGTGAAGGCTAACATGAAGAAGGACTAGAACATCCACTCCTGAGACCCTGAGTGAAGGATAACATTAAGAAGGACTAGAACATCCACTCCTGAGACCCTGAGTGAATGATTTAGTGGCGGAAGGTAGAAGAGATAGTGGAGGTGGGAGAGAGGAGGCGGAGACAGAGAGTAGCTGGCATATGGAAAACAACATAGAGAAGGTGTAGAGATCGTTTGATAAGGAAAGTCCTTGTGAAGTGTATCGTTAAGCAAACTGCATGTGTTACAAGAAGAACACGACGCATAAAGATGTTCAATTGTTACTAGAGAGAACTTGGGATACTCACGACCATCCGCCTTGCATGGCCACGGCGCCAGCCTCCCCCTGGGGCGTGCCTTGCTCGTTCCGACTGATGCCATTACCAGTCTCGAAGTTGAAGCTGTACGAGCCGTCTGGGTGAGGTCCGTCTCGTTCGTCCACCAGGATAGGGATCACTTCTCCGGAAGGCACGAAAGGTATAGGAGGCCTCTGAATAGGTTCGTCAGCTGAAGGAATCTCAGGTCGTTGTGGCGGGAAAGGGTCCTGGCTTGCACCCGCTCCAGAACCACCAGGAGCAGATGATGGTGGAATGAATCCAAATTGTTGCGGTGGGAAGGGCTTCTGGCTTGCACCAGCTCCAGAACCACCAGGAGCAGATGATGGTGGACTGAATTCAAATTGTTGTTGCGGCGGGAAGGGATCCTGGCTTGCACCAGCTCCTGAACCACCAAGAGCCGATGATGACGGAGGAAGGTGGCCGTGTAGTGTTGGCTGGGAGAGAAATCGTCTTTGGGTGGTTCCTAAACTTCCTCTTGGAGATATATCATCAATTCTTGCATTCCCAGCCGCTGCCATTAAGAACATCACTAAAATCTGTAAAGCAAGTAACATTACATTATTACATTGTACAAACATTTGATGGTGGATGATGTAGTATTATTATGCACAGGAGGGACGGTGAGCCAGAAGAGGGGAAGGAAGGAAGGAGTGAGGGACGACTGACCGTGGTGACCATGGTGATGGTGGGAGAGGGGAAGTGTGGTGCACGATGGTGGACCAGACGTTATATATACCTGCCTGGACCCTCTCCCTCTCACACCCAACCTCTTGACATTATGGTGAAGGGACACTTACTTTCCTCTCCTGTACACACACACACACACACACACACACACACACACACACACACACACACACACACACACACACACACACACACACACACACATACACACACACACACACACACACACACACATTAGGAGGTGATGTGGTGGAGGCTGACTCCATACACATTTTCAAATGTAGATATGACAGAGCCCAGTAGGCTCAGGAATCTGTACACCAGTTGATTGACGGTTGAGAGGCGGGACCAAAGAGCCAGAGCTCAACCCCCGCAAACACAACTAGGTGAGTACAAACACACACACACTCACACATACACAGTTCAGCATCATATTTGCGATAGCCAAACATTATTGAATATTAAACGGAATTATATGACTTGGAGAAATAATAGCATCCTAAACCTCCATAAAGAGATCAAATACACGTTATAAGCCTAGAATTCTTATTTTAATAGCAGTATTGACGCTGGTAATTTTACTAAATAGAAAAGTATACTACGACAGTATACTGAGGAGGGAAGTATGCTTAGCGTAGCAAGCTTGGAGATGTGATACTTAAGAATGTATTTTAATAGAGTATGTTTATGAAAATGTACAAATATACACTTATCATGAATAGGGCTTCAAGATAAATATATGAGGTATGTTTAAGAAGGGATAACAGAATAGTATTCTAAGACAGAATTGTATATACATTCTAGATTTCTATACTTTTACTATAGTATACGATATCTTGAGGTAGACTCTCGAGTCAGGCAATCTACCCAGAAAACGTATAAAGTAGATTAGGTAAGCTTTTCCGGAAGTAGAACAATTATATCTTTGCAGATGACGACTGTTTCAGATAATCATTCAAACGTACACTAAAGCTAAACTTTTTAAGTAAACTGAATTTACCAAATAAAGTTGTGAAAACAGAACACTAAACCTTAACTGTTCCCCCTCTGTTCACCCAGCAGTAATTGGGTACCTGATTGTAAACCAATTGACGTGTCGTGTTCCAGGGGAAAACTAGTCGGCTGAGACTTAGAATGAGCTCGAGGAAGGAAAAGTTCTCAGCCTGCTAACAGGAGTCAAAAGTTGTTAAGTCCTGTACCCCTCTGTGTGTAAATTTAAGGCTTACTATAACCTATTAGAATGCGAAGCTCTCAGCTTCCTAACAGAAGTCAGCAGTCATCTCCTCATGTATACAATTTGGTAAACAAAAACTGGGCCCATTTATTAAAATTATCTGGCTGTCCTGTTTGTCTTCGTCTCTGCGAGATTACAGAGTAGATTGAGTTGCAGATACTCTGGTGATATCTTTTAGTGCACATCTGTGGTGTACACGCAGAGAGAGAGAGAGAGAGAGAGAGACAGAGACAGAGAGCCAGCTCAAACGACAAATCAAGAGTTAATAATATAATTAAATATATTTCGAATACAATCATATCAACCTTAACGAACTTAAAGTAAACAATTGATCTCGAGTTTAGTAAAGCTTAAAACAATATATAATGTCACAATAGCACTCGAGTCAAAAATACTTACCGGCTACCTATCTTCCGTGGGGTAACAGGATCAAATAGGTAAATAGTTGTGTAAGGCGACTGGATAGAAGTAGATGATGGGGGGGGGGGGGGAGGGGAGAGCGAATGGGTAAATGGGTAGGTTAATGTGTCAATAATTTCCAGCGACCAGTAGACAGATTCTCTACCTTCTTAGGTACATAGCAACTGTGCAAGTCCTGTGATCGCTGGTCTTCTCTGGCTGAAGTTTTTGTCTCCAAGACAAGAGAAGGTGGAGGGGGGCAAGAGAGGGAGGGGAAAGAGGGGGGAGGGGAAAGGTAGAGAGGGATAGCAAGAGGAACATATATATACTTTACATTTTTCCCTTTAAGGAGTTGATGCAAAGGTGAACTTAGTTAAAGCAGAGTTTACAACGACCGCTGCTAAGCACACTTTGTACCTGTGGACGGTGCAGGGAGCTTTTGTTGGTGTCTTGACAATAGTCAAGGGCTGTGTGGGGGGAAAGGTGACTCTACACTAATGTGTTTTACCTGAATTTACCTGAGGGGCCAAACTCTCTCTAGTGGCCTCGACGAGGGTAGGATGCCGGAGTCTTGTTTAATCGTGCCACAGTTGCGTCTGAGGATTTCTATTTTACAACTGGATTTTTAACATTAATAGGAATGGATTTTTAACATTAATAGGAATGGATTTTTAATATTAATAGGAATGGATTTTTAACATTAATAGGAACGAATTTTTAACATTAATAGGAATGGATTTCTAACATTAATAGGAATGCACGAGCAAAGTATGTGAGTTTTTATCACTAAACTCCATATATGTTAACCTTCGGAAAAGCTTACCTTTTTAAAACTAAAATCATTATCATATTAACAGCAAATATCTCAATATTGTGATAATAAAAAATAATGAAAACAAATGCTCCAAGCATTAATTTGAAAACAGCTTTATCTTAGATCAGATTATGCGTTGTCTCAGAGGGTCTCCAGCTTGTTCTGAAAGTAGACGCCATTAAGGTCTTGACCAGTTTCCAGCGATCAAAGTAAAGGACGATTCTTATCTGACCCTTCCGAACCCCTTCCCCGAGGAAAGGGAGGCTCAAACTCCCTTTGATACCGAGATTAAACACCACTCAGTTCCTCGGCAAGGCCTCTAGAGTCCTGGAAACACACACACAGTAAGGAAACCAGGAGAGAGATATGGCAACTACATACAAAATACTCAGCTGCAGACCCCTAGAGAGGGAGACTGTATCCCCTTAATAAGACCTGTTAGCTTGTGTAGAAGACCTCTTAATAACACACACATACACACACACACACACACACACAAGGCGGTATTTAGACATTGTTTAAGTATTGTCTGTACATCCGTTCGTTAACACCAGCCTGAGTGGTCCCCGTGTGCGTGACAGCCAGACTGGCTATATACGCCCTGTCATGTCATGGGTATGACAGCAACTTCAGTAACACCTGTCATGTCATCGACATGGGACTGCGCCTTAAACATATAGAAATGTATTCGTTTTGCGAGACATTATTAGGAAGACAACATGGAAGCGATCAGATCTACAGTGACCAACCTTCCTCTCTCTCTCTCCAGGCTTTGTAAATTACTACCGGAGACAATGATACAAAAGTAAAGATGTAGTTTCCAGTCAGTTAAATCTTGATGCTTTGAAGGCATCAGATGAACCCATACCTATATGTGTGTGTGTGTGTGTGTGTGTGTGTGTGTGTGTGTGTGTGTGTGTGTGTGTGTGTGTGTGTGTGTGTGTGTGTGTACTCACCGAGTTGTGCTTGCGGGGGTTGAGCTCTGGCTCTTTGGTCCCGCCTCTCAACTGTCAATCAACTGGTGTACAGATTCCTGAGCCTACTGGGTTATATCATAGCTACATTTAAAACTGTGTATGGAGTCAGCCTCCACCACATCACTGCCTAGTGCATTCCATCTGTTAACTACTCTGACACTGAAAAAGTTCCTTCTAACGTCTCTGTGGCTCATGTGTGTGTGTGTGTGTGTGGTGTGTGTGTGTGTGTGGTGTGTGTGTGTGTGTGTGTGTGTGTGTGGTGTGTGTGTGTGTGTGTGTGTGTGGTGTGTGTGTGTGTGTGTACAACTTCAGGACGTATTAATAATTATATGTTATTAATAATGATAATAATAATAAAAATGTTATTAATCACTAGTAATTCCCAACAAGGTAACTGAACAAATTAGTAACACTAACAATAAACTTTAAATGAAAATAAAAAGAGTTCTGTTGGTTATTGATTTTTTACTATTAAGTAAAGTATAACAGACAGAAAAAATAAAAGTTATTTCGAAAGCCTGTGAAAAAGTTATTAATAATAATGTTTTAATTAAAACGATTTAAAAATAATATAATTTATAAACAATACTTTACCTTATAAGCAAAAAGAAACGTTTGCACAAAATTATAACCTTTGAGTCATATTATAAAACATAAAAAAATTAAAGAAAGAAAAATACGGATATTTTAATTCTCAGTCAGACCTTTGCTGTTGCACGAACGACGAAATATATAAAAAAAAAATCAAACGGGGGCAATGCCACAAAAAAATTGCTCGTGTGCCACCTTGGGCACGTGTGCCACAGGTTCACCACTTCCCCCCCCCCCCATGGACCCTTTGAAGGAGACGTCACAGTGGACCCGAGTACAAAAACCACAACTTACACTTCTTGCTACAATATGTAACTCACGAGAACAAAAAGGAGAACCACCTTAGGCGAGAACGACAAGGTTAGGTTAGGTTAGGCAAGAACGACAAGGACCACTGAACTATAGACAGGAGTCGCTATCCATTTTCTCCTACGATATACTTAAGATATTACTCTGCAGACTTGTAGAACACCAACACAAATTTGAACTTTGTCTGTAATATAACAAAAAAGTATATAATAATCCGCTAAAGGAAAGTTGCTTAACAAACCTGTAGGAGTTATAATAATTTTTTTTTACGGACTTTTAAACTGGGAGAAGGAGAGGGTAGGCGGGGCCTTAGTGTCTTTCTCGAGTGTTGAAGCAGAGGAGAGTTTGTCTCAGAGATACTAACAGCTTTTTAATTGTTCTTGTAAACAGATGGGCCAAGGTATGTATATATATATATATATATTATATATATATATATATATATATATATATATATATATATATATATATATATATATATATATATATAATATATATGATATATATATATATATATATATATGAACACTTCCCAATCAACTGTTGTTATTGTTATAAACAGCCTCCTGGTGCTTCGGAACTCACTAATTATTAAAAAATTGTAAACAAAGCCGCCAAAGATTGAGAAAAGATGTACAGGTTCGTAAGTGCTTACCTAACTACTACG